TTGTTGTCTCGGATTCTCCAGCATCTGCAGTTCCTACTATCTCTGATCCATCAGCCCTGTGCTTGTTTACCTTCACTGACTCCCTTTCTGTCACCAACCCACCTTAATTTTAAAGCAGCAGGTCATCTAATGTAGAATGGTTGGACAGGCTAGGTTTGAATCCACTAAAGTTTTGAAGAAGAGGAAAAGATTTGATTGAAAGACAGAAGATCCCAAAAGTCTTGAGAGTTCGAATAAGGAACGGATGTTTCCTTTTGCGAGAGAATTTATAATAGAGGTCACTCAAGATGGCAGCAGAGTAGGGCTTCTCCCCGGAGCTTGTCCACTCCGTCTGCTTTTCTTTCTTTCAGTCCTTTAGTCTTTAGAACTCCGCCGTGCAGCCAGCGACATCAGCAGCTGGGGACTTTGACGGTCGGCCATGAGGCAGCTGGTCGTGGTTGGCGGCATCACGGCTTGATCAATGGAGCAGTACCAGAGTACTCGGCAAAGAGGTGGCTAATGCAACAACGGAGCATGGCAGCGGCTGGAGCCCAGAGTGAGCCTGGCGGCAGCCTTGGGGCAATGATCAGTCGTGAAGGATGATGGCAGCGAAGAAGTGGCAGTCGAGGCCGAAGCCTGGCGTGCCTGATGGAGATCATCGGTGGCGAAGACGGCTCGTGAACATAGATGGATCTTAGCCCAGTGCAGGAAAGCATGCCCAGCGCAGGGGAGAGTGAGCCCTTTGAGGAAAGCCCAGCTTGGAGTATGGGCAGCCCCATGTATTAAGAAAGGACTATAATGTATGACTTTATAACTTCATTTTTACACTTTTATACGAAGAAGACTGTAGTCCTGAACTTTTTAACTTAAAGCTTTATGTTTCTCCTTCTGCAACTAAGATTTTGTACCTAGGTATTTTGTACTTAAGATGGCGCCGTGTGTGGCGATATTATGCACTTTTCACTGTTATCTTGTACCTTGTACATGCCTACACGTGACAATAAAAGCTAAATCTAAATGTAAATCTGTTTGAAAACTTCAGTCAGAGATAAGAATTTCTTTTCTCCTAAGGGAGGTCTCCTTGAAAGGCAGTGAAACCATAGTCTTTTTTTTAACCTCCGACTCAAAAGATTTATAATTTTTTGATAAGGGAGAGTGTGTAGTTATCGCGGTAGGCAGGAATGGCTGACTAGACTCAAAGGAGGCCCACTGGCCTACTCCGGTTTCTAATTAGTATATTTGTAAGATGCACTTTATTTAAATAATAAGCTATGTGTAATCTTATACGTTTCCATAACACTTGCCCGCGACAAACAACTGGCCGTAGCAGATTATTCATATTTTCAATCATATTCTACGAGAAACATCAACTCTCTTTATATCTCGATAGATGACTAGACCTGCTAAGTTTTTTTTCCAGTGCTATCTCAATTTCCTGTCTCTCGCGACCGCAGTATTTTACTTATTTTCGTGTTCAACTCTTAATTATTTTGTGCATGTTTTGGTGTGTAAACCATTGTCCTTCAGAAATAGAATACTAAATAAGACGTGGTCGGAATTTATAATTGGGAAGGGACAGAAGACTGTTGTTTGTGTCAGTCATATGTGGTATTTGTTTTCATTTTGTTATGCACTTTCAGGCTTGGCACTTGTTTCCCACTGATATTCAAATTTACGTGAGCAGGAATCCGTGGAGAACGTGATGTTCATTGACTGTAATGTTCTCTGATACAAAGCTGGCTGGGCTGTTCCCGCCTTTGTGAATGTACACTACGTGCACCGTCGACTAATTCTCATGGCGGTTCCAGGATGTAAATAATATCTGAAGGCTTCTACACCCATGTGAAATAATATCTATTACTAAAACACGGTTAAAATGAATCGTGCTTGCTTCAGTACTAAACTTGTGCAATTCGAATATATACAGGATGTTACGTGTTTTTTTAACATAATATAATCGACGTTTGTTTGAGAGGACGTGACAAATTTTAAACTTCTTAATGTTTAAAAAACACTATTCTAGTGTCAGTAAAAGAGTAGACCTTACGAACACACTCGAGAGAATTTTTAAGATTGGTAAAATAATACCTTCAGGAACGTGAACTCGTTTGTTAGTGAAGTAACTGAACTTTCCCTCAGTTGACACTGGCCCAAAATAGATTTACATCACTTTTTGAAAGCAATATTTTGAGTCAGTAATAAGCTTCAATTCCATCCTTTTTTCCAAGGTAGTTAGTGGCTCCCCCAACACTCCTGGGTGTAGTCCCTTCAGCTGAGGTTCTCCTTGACCCAGAGATTGTCCAGCTGGGGGAAGGGGAGGGGACGGGATCTCTCTTCGTTGTGTGACATGCTCTAAGGCTCCTATCAGTGGCTGCATTAGCCAACGCACTAGCCAATCAGCAAGGACAGCACACTGTTCATCCATTCTAGTAACTTGTTTATGTGGTTGCCGTCCATGGGAATGCTGTATGGTTCGATTGTCCAGAATTATGTCTTTAATGGGTGATCATTTCATTGCAGATACTATGAAACTCCAGTGTGAGGTGGAAGTTATCAATCGGATGCTCCCGACCTTCGGTATGCGGAACAGAGGGAAAGGAAACCGAGCTGTTCTCTCTATCGGGAAACACCATGATCGGAGCATCAAAAACAACTCTTCAACCATTTATCTTTTGATCTGTACCTTAAAAGACAAAGCAGGCTGTAAATACAAGGTGAGTTTTACAATATTATACAAGTCAATCGAGTGCACTTTGAAAAGTATTCAGTTGACAATATATTTTCACTAAAATATCTGCAGCTGAAAGGAAATATAGAGCAGTTTTTCACCAAATTCGTGGAAGAAGGAAAAGCAACCATCAGGCTGAAAGAACCTGCTGTGGATGTTTGTCTGAGTAAGGTACGTGCTGGATCTTTCATATCCAAATTAAAATTTTAATAAAATTTATGTTTTATATTGTGTTTGTTTTTTAAAAAAAATTGAGCACCTAACTGTTTTCCTTCCAGTGGCTGATCTGTCCCCTAATGTATCAACTGTAAAATCTTCCTGTATTCAAATGCCTCCAAGACCTTGCTTCAATATACCAGTTTTGTATCCTAAATTATGCATTTTGCTGTTCTAATTTTGATTCCTTGCATATTGTTGCTTTTCTATGTTACAGTGAGTGATTGAAACTTCAGGCAGTATGTACTCAAGAGTTTCCTTCCTCTTCTCTACTCCCACATTCCAAAATTTCTTGTGCCTCCTATTTTCTACTTTGTAAGTTTCTGTTATATGAAAAATATAAATGTGTGACTGGGGTGATAGCACCAAAAAGTCAAGTTGGAATCCAGAGTGTTTAGCATGTAATTTAGACTGATATTTTGGTGCTATCATAGGACAGTGCTGCATTTTTGGTACCATAACTCCCGTGAGATGTTAAACAAAGTCCATCTGCTGTCTTGGAAGGTTATAAAAGAACCCATTGTACTGTTTGAAAATGAGCAGAAAAAATCTGGTTAATGTTTATCCTGCAATCCTCCCTAGAGTGCATTTTCTGTTTATTACCTTGTTGCTTTTTGCAGGACTTTGCTATAGGTAATTTAGCTGATGCTTTCTACAATGAGCATCGACTGTTTTCAACTTTTAAACAATACTTTCCGATTTTGAGACAACAAGGTGCAGGGCTGGATGAACACAGCAGGCCAAGCAGCATCAGAGCCTCTCTGCTCCTATGATGCTGCTTGGCCTGCTGTGTTCATCCAGCCCTACACCTTGTTGTCTCGGATTCACCAGCATCTGCAGCTCCTACTTTCCAATTTTGACTTGTCTTTTATGATTCCAGCAAATGTAATTTTAAAATGTGCACATTTGTTTAATGAAAGCAATGTAATAAGTACAGTCCTTTATTTCAGTGTCTGTTTCACAAAATTACACAAGGTAATCAAAGATTCCAGGATAGAAAGGAATGCGAAATTCAAAAATCAGCCACAATCTTGTTGA